CTGTAGGTAAAGCTCTGCTCTCGACCTCTCAGCTCTGGGATTTTAAATCTCTAAAGAATTGCAAGATACATTACAAAAGGTTGAGAAACAATGCTGTAGGCCATTTCCATCCTGAAATACATAACATCTGAGCATACTTCTGACCTGTACATCCTGCCCAATCTTGCCACTAAAACAAACAGAATACTTCAACACCTTGGATACAAAAAGTGATGGTGATATAAGCTCCACAGTAAGTATTCTGTAACAACTTCAGCCAAGAGGAGAAGGGAGGTTTCTGTGGCAAATTCCTGATTTCCTGGCTACCTTAATTGGCCAGAAAAACGACTCTTGAAAGCATCACCTCCCACGTACAATTAAGTGTCCTCTAGAGAGCAGCAGCCTCTTGCTGTACGGCATGACTAATCTGACAATGTGGGCAAAAAACAGAGACAAGAGATGGGAGTCAAACAACTCACAAGAGCACCTCTGGCATTTACGCTACAAGAGAATGAGAGAGACAACACGGCGCTTCAACACTCTCCAGCTCCTCTAATGGCGTGAGAAAAAAAAACAGTCCTACAAACACAGCTAACTGCTCAAAACACTCATCAGGAGTTAAAAATGAATTAATATATTATAAAAATGGCTTAATTTCTCCATATAGCAAGTATTTAACAGAATGCTGAATTCAACAAATTAGAGTTTTGGTCCAAATATGACATGTCTACTTTTCACATCCATCAGCAATGCTGAAGAAGTAATGGCTTGACAAACGTGGACCCTCATTAAACACCTTTGACACCAATATTTTCAGACATAAGTTGCTGACAGGTGATACTTTAGTTATATTTGCAATAACTTGTTTCACTTTCATGATAAAAACTGATGTTGGTAGTGTGAATCAAACCCTTTTTTCTTAAACGCAAACTAATGCAAATACTTTTTTTCTAGTCTCTGCAAGCTACTGCACCTGTTCACTGTGATGCTACGGGATGCAACAGGCCTCTAACAGGACAAATTTACCAAAACAAAAATGCATAATTAAAAAATAAAAAAGTAAAATATCTTTTAAATTCTTTCCAGTTCATTTATATGCCTTTGGGCTTAAAACAGGGAAATCGTACCCACGGCACTTTGTTGCATGTCACCACAAACTTTCCTGTCTCGCTCTCTCACTGCTACTCTAATAAAAGGCACAGAAAAGCCCCCCCAAAAAAACAAAAAAAGAACAGGGAAACTCAATCATGTCAGTATTACTGGTTGACCTTTGTCACTCAGCACAAGGCTAATGTTAGTGTAAGGCCTCATGTCCAGTTGATTTTTAAAATTCAAATGCTCTAACACTAGATTATGTTATATATTTATACACCACAAGAGTTTGGTGGAGACAGTTTATACAGTGAAGTACTCCACTACCTGCAGCAGTGTGTTATGAAACCTACTCAGTCATGATGAGAAGAGACTTGGTGAGAGGGAAACAAGGTGAAGCGAGATTTGTACTTCCTACATCGAGGTGTTCCAGCAAGTCCTGTGATAAATGCCTCGAGGTTGGAACTGCATCAGGATCAGATTCAGAATCACCTTTTTTGGCCAACTAGCTTAACACTGGTTGTAGCTTTAGCTCCAGTTCTCAGCAGCTCCAAATGTACTCTGTGTACCAGAGGAGATAGCACGCTGAACAAATGTAAGCAAGAGTGCATGGAAGTGGAAAAGATGCAAAGATGCATATTATTAGATATGCATCTTTGCATTAGTCGTTTGGTTTCTCAGCTATAAGCCCCCTAGAGGAAGGTTTGCACTGACAATGCAGCCACATCACAAAACCAAATTTTCTAGTGGCTCCTGAAAAAGAGACAATCATCACAATCCTTGTGTTAATTAAAGTTAAGGGCTTGATTAATCTGACATTCATTTATACTATTAATCATTTAATTGTTTCTGACAGATAAAAGCGACAAGGGACCATCACATTTTCCTACAGCCCAATGTCACCTCTGCAAATTACCTGTCTGACCATTTACTATAATAAAAAACAGAGAAAAGTTTTGTTTGCTTGATAAATGACAAACAAATGAATCTACTATCAAAATTATTGTGGATTCATTTTCTTTTAATTGAATAATAGCTTAGCAGGGTTGCCAGATTTGATGAAAGCCTAGAACCCACCTGATCGTCTTCAAGCTATTTTATCAGTAGAAGTAGACAAACTCTAAACTACAGTTACAATAATAATTTCAACCAAGTTTTTGGAGAATGCTACATTAAAATATGATATGATCAAATGTAAGAACAAATAGTAACAGAATCGAATAGGAAAAAATGTTTTAACCTAGTTGTAATAACCGAAATAAAAAGTCGTGCAGTTGGATGGAAAACCAGCCTGGCAGCGCTCGACCTGCTCCGTGTTGTCCTCATTATCAGCAATCTCTGAAGGCATCAGAAACATGTGGAAAAAAACACCAGCACCCTAAACTGACCAATCACAGTCCTCCACAGACTGTGTAACATCTCCTTCATGTGGCATCTCCCCAGCCCCAGCATCTCAGAGATTTGAGGAGGTGCAGATCAGCTCTGTCGGACTTGACAGGCACAGCGCGAATACAGTTTGAGAGTGACATAAATACAGAGGACAGCCTTCAACTCCAACTTCCAAACCACGAGGGGGGCATGTTGCTACTGCGCTTACAAATAGATGACACAAATAAAGCCTGTGAAGGAGAGAAACAAACATGCCACGAAAGTCTGAGCACAGAGGGAAGTTTCAGGTCAGAAGAGGTTTCATATCTCTCAGTATACTCAGTCTGCTGGGAACTGGAGATGTTGTTAAAAATCATACAAGAGAAGCTGCTCACTGAAACTGAGCTAAACTCAAAAAACAGGTCAGTAAAGTAGAACGTCAGTCAGGAAACACAACAGTTCACAGATACAAAGAGATAGTTGGTGGGGGGGTGGCGGCTCGCCCTCTGCCCCGTGTAGCTCCGTCATTATCGGCTCCGGGTCGGCCCTTTGTCAGCAGAGCTGAGAGAGTGAATGTCAGGATTTACTGCAGATGTAGAAAAGTGAAACTGATTTGTGGATCTTGCTTTGTGTGTTTTCTAACGTTGTAGTTTATTGTCAGATGACATGAAGCAGCACAGCTCAGAGACGACATCTAGCTGTTAATTAAAACTGGACTAAATTTTGATTCATCTTTGATAATCTTTATTTTTCCACATGTAAGGCTGCAGACTATATGCACTGTCCTGGACAGACTTATTGACAAAAGTATTAAAGAAGTTAAATCCTTTCCACACATTACACTGTTACTGTGCTAGTTTGGAGGTGAGCTGCCAGCTCAGTAATGGCGGCGTGTTTACTTTCGCCTACAACGTTTCAACCCACAGACGCCGGTGAAGCTGTGTTTTTCCTTCTTCTAAAATCTAGAGAGGAGTTTCTCCTTAACAAATGCTAGAAAGCCAATGGCGACAGCAATTTAAAACACACACCAGTAACTTTGGCTAAATTACTGCACACGTGAGAGCTGCTAAAATGAGACTGTCTGCTTCCCAGTCTGTCATATCATAACAAAATTTTTTTTAAAAACTGTTGGCAGCACAGTTGACAGATTTGGGGACTAACCCTCTGCCTTATTTAACTCAACTTGAGACATGAGCTAAACGTGACAGTCCCAACATGGGGACTGTTTTCAGAGAATCAGTCCTGTATTTGAAGCGATCTGGAGCTGTGCTCTAATAAGACACGCTGAGCTCGCTAAGCTCTCTACCCTGTGCTCCTTTGGGGAAAGAAATATCAACAGACACGGGGATGAGACTGTAGAGAGCCCAGGGGGCAAAACACTGACCACTGAGGCTGAAATGTGCAAACAAAGACAAACAAGGATCTTCTATGCAGCCATCCGACAGCAGTGTCCATACAGAGCAATTAAAGCCCCTTAAGACAACAGACATTTCCTTGTAACTAATTAGGATAAAGACACAACTTCAGAAAAGTACAATCAGTCTCAGTGGAGTATTTGACACAGAGTATATTTTCACTAATAAACAAATTAACAACACAAACACATGAGCGTAATACACTTATACCCTTTCTCTAATCCACTGATGTTTTATCATTATTGATAAAAATGGAGCAAATAAAAACAAGGGGAAATGTGCTGCGTCGGAAATGACACTTCGGTCAGTGCACTCACATGTAGCGCACTGTGTACACAGTATACTCACTGGCGTAGTGTGTGAATTTCAACAGGGGAGTAATGTCCCAAATCAAACAGTGCTGTTGTGCACTCACCGGAAATGACAATCACAACATGTGACCGTGATTGTTGCCTGACTGCCGGCTGCTTTGCTCAATTGACTTAAATTGAACATTTTACTTTCCCGTGTGTGCCCCCTGGGTCATTGCGACGTGGAAATTAGGCCGCCATCGGCGCCGACAATGTGTTCCTCGATCGCCGTGTTCACGCGTATGAAAAACGCATTGGTGTCGTTTCCCCTTCCACTATGTAGGCAAGATGGCAACCGTTGAGGATGAGAAATGTTCATGGTTTTACACTCAATTTTCTGACAGTTCTGAGTGCACCATCTGGGTACTTACTGTGCATTGCATGTTGCCATACTTATCAATGCGAAAGCACTTATGTACTCAAAATAGCCAGTGTGAGTATTGAAGTACGTAAATTGAGACACAGCAACTAACTGTCAATTTGTCACTTCATCTTTTTGGGCAAATTGGTTTTATTTGTCATGCTCACAGAGCCACTATCCCAGAAACTGCTAAAAGAAGTCCAAAAATTCAATCCCCAAATGATTTATGTCCTTTTTATACAATTCTACCTTTGAAAGAAACTCATTCATGTACACAAATCTAAGCCCAGAGGAGTCAGCATTATAGGAACATTTAATTGTTTTTGGAAAGCTCCGATGCCTGACTTGACTCCGGCTGAGAGCTGACTAAGCAGCAACAAGTGTGGCTGGCAAAACAAACACAAACTCTCCCAGCTTTTCGTGTCCACTTCTTACCTGCTGACTCCAGCAGGACGAGGTAATCTGTTCCTCTCTGAGTGGGCATGTTGTCATCGGGCTCCTGTTTCTCTGACTCCGCGTAACGATCCCAGTTTGACTCCAGTTTCCTCCTGGAGAAAACCTCCCTCCTGTCATCTTCCTCCTGAACATTGTCTCCTTCATCTTGGTGCTGAAAGAAAAAACATGGCGGCACAACACAATGACCAACGCTTTTACAACCTCACCCACACTGTTTCTTGTCTGGTCTGCTGTTTGTCACACTGTACAATTCAATTTGCCTCACGAAATCTGGTCCAACTGCACCTTAAGTGCAGACAAGCATGAAGTTCAATTGGTTGAATGCCAATTTAACCCATGTACAAGAAACATCAATGAAATGTCTTGCTTCCATAATTCAAAAATGTACTATTTGAAACTTAGGTTAGGACAGAGGGAAAGGAAGCACACAAAAGTCTTGCAAAGTTCAAAAATCTTAGGTGAATACTCCGTTCTCCACAAACATCAGATGAGGTGAAGACAGGGACTGTTCAGAATAGAGATGCAATGATTAGTCTATTAATCCATGAGTCTATTAACAGAAAAATAACTGCCATTAATCTGTAATGAAAATACAGGCTTAGACCACAACAAAGAGAAATATCAGATCATCTAAAAAAACAAAAACAAAAAAGAATAATTCAGATTTTGTTTGTCTCATTTTTACTAACTTCAAAAAGTCTAAACTGATTGCTTTGCTGTGACTAAGATTTCCCCCATAACCAAAAATTATATTTCCATTGACGGTGCTCCACACAGTACAATTCAAAGAGTGTTTTGTAAAGATGTCATTAACACTTAGCTCCTATTCATGATTGGTAGCCACATCTAACAAAAGGGTCAAGGTAAAAGCCATGTCCCACTGTATGACAAAGAACAGATGTCGGTGCCAAAACTGAACTCGTTAGATTTGTCTGAGTCACAGGTTTCTTCCTGTTTTGTCAGATAGCTGCAAAAACCTTTTAATAATGTTGTCATGGAAACATGCAGACTGACAAATGTGTCACACTGACAAAGCTGTGGTTGTGCTCAGCTTTTCTGGGGCCTTGTCAAAACTCAAACACACAAAAAACAAAACAATGCCCCCCCCCCAACAAACAATATCATCAAGACCACATGGCAGCAATGGATGCACCAAAGGAGATTTTCATGATTGCAATCAAGAAGCCCATATGAACCAAAGGGGCTTTTTTATGATTGCAATCACAGAGCCCCTATTGTTTAACTTCTAGTTCTGTAGTTACCATGACAGGAGCATCACTGACTGAACATCCCTGTGGAAATTAAGCTGAACCCTCTAGTGTCATACCAAAGGCCCAGATTGTACAATGGCAATGTTAAAGTGCTGTGGGAGGCATTTCAAGTGCCTGATGATACTCTAGTAAGGTTTCATTCTGTTCAGCCTCGCTCTATACGTGAAGACAGAATCCCATTATGTGCATAATGTACAACAGAGAAGCGTGATACCATGAACCCCACCTCTAGTGCAAAGTAATGAATCAATGCACAGTGTTAGTACATAGTACAGTGGTAGCTGTAAAGTTACAGTGGAGCCTAAAGTTAGCTTTCAGGTTATCCACGAAGCATAATTTCATTTTAACAACATTTGAATATTTGAAGGTTTTTTACAGCGCTCTGTACCGGCCTCTGCACTTTCTGCACAGGATTTTGGTGCAGATGAGCTGCAGCACCGGCTGACAATTACACTAATTAATTAGGCCGAACTGAAGAGGAGGAAGTACTTATTTTATGTCATCGTCCGACAATGTGAGTTAACGCAGTGAGGAAAACTACGGAATTAACTATGTTTTCAATGCAGTTTGGCAGAGTGATATAACAGAACCGCTTATGAAGTGCATACTCCGTGCTCTCTCACCCGGTTATGGAACTCTGTTGCGTGCGCGCTTCCCCCGCGTCCACGACCGCGGTAGTGGTCTCTTTTGCCCCGGCCGCGATGGTGGCCTCCTCGGCCTCTGCCCCGGTGCTCACCGCCAAAGCTGTCACTGTCGTGTCCACCTCGGCCACCTCTTTTCCAACTGCCTCCCCTGCCTCTGCTCGGTCTACTCTCCATTGCACGTCTGCTGTGGCCGGACACTTTAGCAAGTGACACCACGTAGTTGCTTCAGGGCATCGATGTTTTCGCTACCGTCTCCGTTAGATCCACACTTCAGAGACAGCGGTGGCTTTTTAGACTGGGTGCTACATTGAATGAGGTCCTACGATAAGATGGCATTTAGGGTTCCGGGTTTCATTTGGACCAAAATATATGGTACAACTACGTATTTGTACCGATTTGTACACGGACATGTAGAGAACGATCGAAATATAAACAATACAAAAATTCAACCAATATAGAATGAAATATAAATTTACTTTACAACTGGGGTAAGAATAAAAAGGTGAATAAACAGAACAACGAATACATAAATTACTAATCTATTTGTTTTACCTCCATCAAAATATTTTAAATTCAAATATATTACTGCGTTTCATCAAATAACAGGATTGGATGTGGGACTGCAAAATGGCGAAATTACATTTAACGTTTGAGGTCTATTAAAAATAATTGAAATAATAGTACAGTTGTAATACTACTTTCTCCTGAGTACAACAATGCAGCATATGTGTTGTTATTTCTGTGATGACGTAATGTATTTTACGACGAGCTGGAAATACAAATAAGCTACCAACAGTATTTTATCAAACAAAATAAAGTGGGTTAATTCATTTAAATAGCAGCATCATATTAAAAAGCTGCTGTATTAGACGTGATGTTGTAACTCACAAACATGTTCACCAAAGACTTAAAAATCACAACATTTAAATAAACTTAAAACTACTGCTACATGTTTTGACAATCTTCGTGGTTTATCCTGATATAATAAAAAATATGACTAATAATTCTGTGCAGTTGTGTCTCATTACTGTTTTTCTTTCCATTCCAGGAAACCTGCTCATTCTACATGGAGCCACAGAGGGTCACTTCATACTGACCTGACACCGATAGCACAGACAGATAACACAGCACCATGGATTCTCCAAACAGCACCTTTGGCAACACGTCACACGTCCATGCTGCTCCTCACAGCCTTTGGGAGGTTATAACCATTGCTACTGTGTCAGCCACTGTCAGCTTGATAACTATAGTTGGCAATGTGCTGGTGATGCTTTCTTTCAAAGTAAACAGCCAGCTGAAGACTGTTAACAACTACTACCTGCTGAGTTTGGCGTTCGCTGACCTCATCATAGGAGTGCTGTCCATGAACTTGTACACCACATATATACTGATGGGTTACTGGTCCTTGGGGAACCTAGCATGTGACCTCTGGCTTGCAGTGGATTATGTAGCCAGCAATGCTTCAGTTATGAACTTACTTGTCATCAGCTTTGACAGGTACTTCTCCATCACAAGGCCACTGACTTACAGGGCAAAGAGGACTCCAAAGAGAGCTGCCATCATGATAGGCCTTGCATGGCTGGTGTCTTTTGTCCTCTGGGCACCACCCATTCTGTGTTGGCAGTACTTTGCAGGAGAGAAAACAGGAAAGGAGGAGGAGAGAGACCAGTGTCAGATCCAGTTTTTAACTGAGCCTGTGATCACATTTGGGACAGCAATTGCTGCTTTTTACATCCCAGTCTCTGTTATGACTATCCTGTACTGTAGAATTTACAAGGAGACGCAGAAACGCACCAAAGATCTGGCAGAGCTGCAAGGGCTCGCAACAGAAAATGTTCCAGAGGGGACTAAACCACAGAAAACTATTATTCATTCTTGCTTTCATTTCACCAGAGAGAGGAGAGACCGGAGTCAGGCCTCCTGGTCCTCGTCCAACCAAAGTAACACCACAAAGACAACCACTAGGTCAGATGATGCGTGGGCAAAAGCAGATCAGATCACTTCCTTTAACAGCTACACCTCATCTGAGGAGGAGGAGCATCACGTTTCAATAGAAACCCCACAGGGATCTTTCAAAGAGCAAGGTAGCGGGCAAAGTAATAAGAATGGGCAGGTGACTGACTATACAGAAGATCAGTATTTTTCCAGTCCTCAAAAGAAAACCAGTAAAAAGTGCATCTCTTATAAGTTCAAACCTGGCTCAAAGGGTAAAAACGGAAATCCTACACTTGCAACACCCTGCCCCTCAGAGGCAGAGCAGCCTGCCAAAAATGCCTCCCCATCCTCCTCCTCCACCACCTCCAAGCCCATGGACCCCGTGCTGAAGAACCAGATCACCAAGAGGAAGAGGATGGTGCTGGTGAAGGAGAAGAAGGCAGCCCAGACTCTCAGTGCCATCCTCCTGGCCTTCATCCTCACATGGACGCCGTACAACATCATGGTGCTCATCTCCACTTTCTGCACCGAGTGCATCCCTATGTCCCTCTGGCACCTGGGCTACTGGCTGTGCTACGTCAACAGCACCATCAACCCCATGTGCTACGCCCTCTGCAACAAGACCTTCCAGAAGACCTTCCGCATGCTTCTGCTCTGCCAGTGGAGGAGGAGGAGGAGAGGCGAGGACAAGCTGTACTGGTGTGGACAAAACGCAAATGTCAACAATAAAATGACTTGATGTGGCACTGCAATATTATCACCGACTTTTGCCTACATGTGGGCTTCTCTTGATATATGCGGTAGTCGGTGGTCATCTTCAGCATGAAGTGCTGCATGTGATTTTTGTGTTAAAGTACGTGTTGGTGGAAAATGTGCCGAGCCTGATGCAGCACTTAAACTGCTGCTCCAGATTATTACAGAAAAGGAACCAAAACGAAGCTGGCAACACATTCTTACAAAGGTTAAAGGTTAAAGAATAGGTTCAGATGATTTCAATTGATGAAGTCTATTTTTTAAAAGAGAACCCGGGAGTGTGGAGTTAGACGGAAGTGACAAGGAAGAACAGTTCATGGAATTAAGAAGACGATATCTTTGGTTCTACTGCATTAATTTTTATCCTTTTTTTTTTTTTAAATTGTCCATCCTGAGTCCAACAACTTTACCGGCGTGCAATGCTAAATAGGTGGAGTACTCTTTCAATACAATACCTACATGCCGATATGTACATTTAAAGTGTTAGTGGCTGCTGTAATCATTCCTCTCCATACTGGTCATTGAGAGTCATCCCCTCCTGAGTTTGAGAGATCAGGGTCCAAATCTTCAGTCCTTGTTCTGTGCAAAAATGCATTTTAAAGATAAGCCAAAGCTAATATGAGGTGTTTTTTCTATTTTTTATTTTTGAGACAAACCATGACATGCACATCACATTACAAAATATCGTAAAACACACACAGTATAAACATTAACATAAATATAGGGGTTAGTGTGTGGCAAGATAAAATGTCCGTATCCTTCTTCCTACATCAAATCGTATTTTGTATTTGTCCTGTTTTTTCTCATTTTGACCTTATAGGGATTCATAATTCACTTTGTTCACTGTGATTTCGTCAGAGGTCATACGCCGCCTGCTTCTTTGCTAATCCGTCCATATGCAGAGCCTATAAAAGGATTTCAGCCTCTTGGAAGTTTTTGTGACATTTTGTGTCTTTTTTTCCACTCATCAATAGAAATCTACTCTTTAATGTCATAGAATAGATTTCTATAAAGTGATTTAAATTAATGCCAGATATAAATTAAGTTTCCAAAGCAGCTGAATACTTTCCTAAGCAGTGTATTCTTTGAAACAGTTACTGCAACAGTCCCCTTTCTGTTTTCCAGTTCAATAAGATTGTCCATTTTACCTCCAGAAACACTGATGCAATACTGTTTTGCTTTACATTCACAAGTAGTTTTCCGAGTAAACACAACGCTGGTGTGTGTGTATGCGCATGTTTTTTTCTGGTGGGTTCCCTAGTACATGAAATGATCCACGTCTGTCTCTGTTACCTTCTTGAAACGTTCAATAAAATGTTCATCATAAACAAAACAAGAAAAGAAAACACTGATGACAGGAAATTTACACATTTCTGGTGTTAGATATAGAATCATCAGTAACCCAAAGAGTGAGTTTGACACTAATGAGACATAACTCTGGAACATACCCACTAGAGCTGGTTGCTGAAGTCTCATCTTAACTTTGCCTGGACTTCTTTTTGAACTTTATTTTGAACTTTTAGAACAAACACATAGAAAAACACACAAGAGCTAACTACACACAGACTCCCACCATGATACATGATACATGATACAACACGCAATTAAAAAAAACTAAACTAAACATCGACAAAACAAACAAACAAAGTTTTCAGAGTAGCAAGTAATTGTCGGTGCATGCCCAGACATTCAGTGTCCATTGCCGCCATGATGGATATGTCCATACAGGCTGGAACTGGCCGTACGTTGTTACAGTCTGCAAATGTTATTTAAGTATGATTCAAAAACTTGAGCAGTTAAAAATAAAGTTTAAAATGAGAGACATCCTAGATAAATCAACATATACTTCTTAGTTGCACCAATTTGCTTTCTGATATGATCAATAAAGGGACCCTATTCTTCACAAATTTACAGTAGGAGTCGGATGCAGAGTACCTAATCTCCAAATAAAAATAGGAAACGGCATCATTGAGCCACTTTTAAAACCCAGAGGGGAGCTGGATCTCCATTCTCTCGAAATAACCCTTTTAGCTACCATACTCAACATTTCAGCCTGCTGAGGCTCATAGGACAATTTTAGAAATCCAAAACAGCAAGTGCACACGTTGCCTGAACCTTAAAATGCTTTTTTTTCCCTTTTTTTTTTGCACAGAACTGTTGATTCAGTCCCTCAACTCTTACACTCCATGATTACAGAGACTGGTAAGAACGCACTTTTAATGCACATATTGTATTAGCATTAGTAAAATCCCTGAACCTGTCCTTTAACCCTCATCTTATCTTCCTTTATTATAACGCTCACTCCCACTGTATATAAAAGACATAAATGTAGGCTTACACATTCAAAAATAATTTAGAGTATACAGAACACATTTCACTGATTCTGTTGGATTTTACACCTCACAAATTGTAAATGTAAATTGATTAGTATATATATCAGTGTTTAGTGAATGTTTCTTCTTGTTTTCCTTCTTGGCTCTTGCTATTGATATTTGATCAAGGGCTAATCTGTACATTTCTGTGCAATGACTGCATTAGTTTCAGAGTGGTAATATGACGTCAGATTGTTTATGGATCACACCTCTATTATTGTCAATATTCATATTACTGCAAAAAAAAAAGAAAAAGAAGAAAAAACTTGGACAAATGGTATTTGAAGCCTGACTCCCACCCTGTCTCTCTGATGGATGAGTGATGCTGTTGTAAATTACTGCACTTTTATGTTGTTAATGATGTAATGTCAAATGTATCTCCCTAAACTCTGTGCCTTTTGTTCTGCTCAGAGGCAAAAGTGCTTTGTGAATGGATCAGTGCTCATTGTCCATGTGTGCAGTGTTGTGACAGTGAGTCTGTGTGTACTGATATGAACAGTGAAATACAAATTCAAAGGCACAATTATACTTTGGTCAACACGAACATTTTCAGCATTCACCATGTTGATTCTGATCTGATCTGGTTTGAACTTTGTTTTTTTCTTTTTGGGAGCAAATCATTGCCCGCTCCAACAGTTGACTAATAAAACTAACGTGCCATGGATAATATGTAGAGTTGCTGAGTGCAGAACAGAGCTCAAGACTTCCCAGAGGACATCGGAGGTCTCTCTGGTCCTAAGACTCCATGTTGGTGCAGGCTTTTGCATTATAACAGTCCAATAAGAATCTATTATTAAAGGATAAGGCTGGTGATGTAACTTATTTTTCTTATAGTTAACAAATTCTATGAAAAGAGCACAACAATGAATAGATCTTAGACCTCCATTGTTGTTCAATAATATTACTGTGAACATGGCCACATGGTTTGTTTTGAGTCTGTTCCACATCAACAGTCCTGGTGACTTTAATACTCCCTAGAGCAATGGTTATAAAAGTTGGGTCAGGGGACCCCCAGAGGTCGTAGAGGGGGTTCCTGTGGGTCCCCAGCAAAAAGGGGAATCATTTATTTTCACCAAAATTCCCTCCATAAGTAACACAATGACAGAATGTGACTATTTAAAACACTCTGTAATAAAACATCTAAAAGCAAAAATCTTATCAGATGGGTGTCCATGGTCTAATTTGTGTCCGTTTAGTTGGAAATATTGACACGGAAACAACATTGGTTTTGGTCTTTTCATGTGATACAGTATCTTGACCAAGAGAAAACTACAGAATATCGCCAGCCTTATCCCTCCAAAGCAGTGGTTCCCAGCATGACCCCTAATATCAAGCAATGTCTACTTGTGACCCCTCATCACAGGTGATGACCTCAGAGAGGAAGCTCCGTTAGATCGAAACATTCAGTTAAATTAAATCTGATGAGCTATCACTATACTGGGAGTAGCATATCTTTTGTCAGCCTGATTTCTGTCTTCAGCTTATATTATGTTTCAGCACCAATATAAACGTTTTGGATACACTTTGTCACAGGTGGATTAAAACACAGCTAATATCTGTACAAACAACACCTTAGATAGAACATCAGCTATGAGCAGTTCAACTCAAAAAAGTGATTTCTCAGATTGTTTTATTTAAAGGATTTCTAGAGGCCTGAAGAGGTCAAAGTATCATAAGCATTCTTTCAAAAGCAAAAGTAAAAAAAAAACAAAAAAAAACAACCACAAAACAAAAAAACAGACATTTTTTTGATTTTCCTTTCCCTATAATCATCTTGTAACTCCTCAGATTTATCTAGAGACCCTCTGGGCATCCCAGCCCTGATTCTTGATCTTGGAAGTAGTAGTTTGACAAAACAATCACAACTCAAAGCCCATCGACTAGTAGCTTTCCCCAGAACTTTCTATAAGACTGATAAATCAGCCAGGTTGATGTATTGGCTGATATTAGCTTATTGCAAATACATGAGTGTATTGGTTGAGCAACAACAATTTTGATTTAGAAACTGTGTCTCATTTACACAGTTCGTCCACCAGAGAGCCTGGTTAAAATGTAACACATGGTATGTACCTTAGTCACAAAAAAAACAAACAAAAAAAAATCTAAAGTGATCCGAAACAAGATTGTTTATGTGTTTATTTACAAAAAAAACTACCAGTCAATATATTGTTAGTAGATTTTTTTTTACACTCCCAAATATCGATATCTACATAAAAAATCCTGTATCGGTCGAGCTATACTTTCAACCACATTACACATCTTTATCTGCAGGCACGATTTGTTGAGTTGTCATGGAGATCATCTCTTGAGGTGCCAGCTTGGCAGCTGTTATGATTTTATCTGTTTAGCACTTTCAGGACGTCCCTGATGGTTTACAGTTAACTCTTAAGTGGAAATCATAAAAGCTACTGAGCTCACAAGTCAGCAGATCCATCTCCATGACAACTGAGCAAACACCCCTCAGCTAATGAAGAAAATGTGATATGGCTGAAAGCCTGAAAAAAGCTAGTAAGTGAACCTTGAGTTATGATTAACAGTCAGAGTTCTGGTTAACTGAGGACATTTATCACAGACACATTTTATTGTGACTTTAATATGGACTTTACTGTCGCTTTATTCAAAGTAAAGCCAGTTACACTCTAGAGATCTTGAAAGCAACCACACAGCTCTATCACTCTTTGACCGTCCAGTAGTTATCATTTTAATTTATACACCTTAGGCACGTATGTACACTATGTGAATCCTGGCCGTATGGTAAAAATGAGAAGGCCATGTGCTCAATTTCAACATAATAAAATGGTCTGAAATAAAAACAAAGTTGTTATATAACCATTGTAATTTAATTATCTAGGCTTTTAAATAAGAATTCTTAAAATTCAATTCATCTTCATTCACAGTCGTATTACTGAAATCGAAAAAACAAGAAAATCTCTGAGTATGTATATATGTTCTCTTTCAGGTAGTGGAATTAGCAGCAGTGGAAAAAAATGCACACCAGAGGGTTAGCACAGAAAAGACTGATGATGAGTAGTAGAGCCACTTGTAGAAAGTAGAGAGCAAATGAAGAATTACAGCTTTTACAGAGATTAAGAAATTTCTATCAGTGCAGTATGAAAAAAAAAAAAAAAACTTAGTTTTGCTCAGTTTCCAATAGCTTAATAGAAATCAAGATGTGCTCAAAACATCTATTAATAAAGAAAACTGTACAATAGACCCGGAGGGGAAAATGACACTTAAAAATCTTGCTTCCATGGCATAACTCGTGCTTCTTTAGGCAGACTGAAGAAACGCGTACAGAGCAGTACTACCTCCTCTTGGCAGCTGGCCTGGTGCCCTTGCTGCTGCTGCCTGCCTTGCTGGAGCCCTTGGAGCCAGAGAAGAGCTTGGTCATGAGCTCAGAGACGTCTGGAAGCTCAGGGTTGGGGTTCAGCATGTTCATGGACTGCTCCATTTCCTGTAAAGACAGCAGTGAAATTGATTGATTACACTGACATTTCTCACAGTTATAATTTGTTCATACTAGACCAGGAGAGGGTGTCATGAAGTTAATACAAATTTTCCTTTGATTGCTGACATCATAAACAAAGGAATTGTGCTATCTAGTGCCATTCAATAAATCCTTATTACACTGATCAGAATGCATCCAATACAATTAAAAGACACAGCATGATGAACTCAATGTACGTACAATGCATCTGATATAACACTTTGGTCTATTAAGGAGTCTTTACCTTTCTCATCTCTGGGTCATTGGTGTTGACCACTTTGGGCAGCAAGACAATAATCAGCAGTGGCAGAACCATCATCATAACCTGCAGGAGAAACAGGTACATTGCATTTAAACATGAGATTCAGAAGTAGTTCATCTTTAAGCAAGCGTCTATATGAAATGATGGAAATTATTCTCACACACAAACTAAACAGTTGATTGAAGATGAACAGATATGAACATTAATAAGAAGAATAATACAGTCTGATTTTCTGGATTTCCTTTTGGTAAATAGAATTGTTTTGATCTACTCTTCTTTACAAGTGTTACATGCCAGATCAGGGTACTTGGATATTCAGAAACATCTCAAGTTGAGGTTGTGCGCCATTAAGTTCATAATTTGTAGACCACAGGAATCATTATTAATGTTTAAATAATGCCCACATTTCCTGGTCCATGGACTGTGGACTTCTACTTACTTACCTTACCTAATCTGAGCTGTTGCACTTTTTTAACACACATACACATCTCCTAACACTGCTGAGGTATAGCAACACAATGGATCATACATATCCAGCATGTTCATCAGTGTTTTTACCATTGGGTTCATAAGGAAGTCTGTCCAGCCCCAGGTTTCCCTCTTCATGAAGTAGCTGTGAGCGCCACTTGCCCTGATTTGGAGAGGATATGGCTGGCGAATTACTTCTGAAGTCTTAATGTAGTTCACAAGACGTGCCCTGTGAAATGACACATGGTTACTTTAGTGGAACAGAGTTGCTTTTTCACAGTGCACTGAAGAATATATAAGGCTGACTCAACGTGAAATATTTCTATGTGCCTTTTTGGCCTCTCTCTCAACAATAAGGTCTTACCTCATTTTGCCCTTGGATGTGATATCAACACGCACTGGTTCAAATCTAAAGGTTGGCGTGACAACTTCTACAACGTAAGATCCTGAAGGGACATCATTCACAGCAAAACTTCCATCAGTTCTGTAAGAAGACAAAGTACCAAGATCATTTAAACTATTTCATTCTCCAGCTGCACATATTGATTTTATATGGGTAAACTGTTAAAGCAATTTCTCGTAAAAGAAAACCAACTTTAAACAAATTGGACACTTGCCATTATCTAAGAATCACTGTCAAACAACCAAACCAAGTGTAACTACAAAGAAAGCAAGGCCTTATTGTTTTCTCAGACATCCAGAGATAGATATTACTGTTGCCAAAGGAACAATAAAGTGTGCATTACGCACTATGTTTAAAATCATTAAACAATTCTACCACAATGCTTTTAAAAGGGCACTGCACCAATTTACCATATGTGGATGAGTTTACTCGTTGTAAGGTGCACTAATTCATCTGTAAGGAGGGAGCTGGGAAAGAACCTTTGAGGTGTTAACAGGTTACTGTATCTTGATTTGGAGACATTTTAACAGAAATCCTGTGTTGCAATATCTGAGGCCTGTACAACTTTAACTATGTGGGCATAAGCAAGGCCTGGGGGGATGAATAAGTTATCTTTGCCTCTGCTGCTATGATTTTAATATTTCATTTTTTACTGTGTCTCTCACATCCTCCAACTTTATGTAAGTGTAAGCCAAATTGCTGAAGTGCCAATTCTAAAATTTACATGAAATCAAGCTTACCAAAGGACTGTAATTATATCAAGCGATATTGTAACATTCAATGCCTTTGTAATAATAAGTAATAATAATAATACCTCACAAATTATTTTTATAATATGGTCACTCACTACTCAACAACTTGTGTGTGTATGAGCAATATGTATGTCTGTGTGTGGGCTGGAGGGGGTACAGAAAGAGAGGGATTATACTATCACTTGTCGATCCATTAGGAACATATAGCTAATATATATAGCAAAACTAACTACATCCTCCAATGTGAACATACAGGTGACTCAACACCTCTATGACACAGTTTCAACAAAACATGAACATTATAAGCTTCAGGAAGGGAGGATTAATAACATAACTTTTGTATTAGCCCACATTGCTTTCAACTAGGTGTGCTAAATAAACTGACAGATTTTTTCTTTCCTCTTTCTTGGCTTTTGAATATTATATATGCCACCTCTCACCAATCAATTTCTATCAATTGATAATACAGTTAATCTTAATTTGAAGAGGAGGACCATATATCATTAAGGCAGTGTAGCTATTTTGTAGGAAGTGTTAAATTTAACTGTACCACCATACCTCTACAACAGAGGCTGTTTAACAGTAACGACAGACACGTCCCTTGTGAAAAAGGTTTGTTTTGGTTACAACTACTACGAGACTAGTAGGCCTGAGTTTGTTGTGCAATGAATAGCTAAATTCAGTGACAGGTCGGGGATGAAGAAACAGCTATGTTGTTGTCCTAGTTGGCACGACTTACATCCACTATTATTAAGCTGTAAATTAGTTCGGACAGGCAGGACCTGCCATCTGCCAACAGCGGCAGCAATTCAACCAACCGTTTAGGCTAGCCGGCTATGCTAATGCTACCTAGCCTCGCTAACATGCTAGCTAGTTAGCAGGTGTAACCGTGAGCCGTTTCTTACCTCAAAAAACCCACGTATTCTTCACCTTCCACCAGGATTCTGGCCGTGGAGACCCAGTCTTGTGTTTTCACCCCCGGAACGATCGCTCTTCCCTCGATTTTGAAGCGATCCCCGTTCGGCTGTGTCGGTACACCTGCGCCAGGCCCCGTTTCCATGTCAGTGAAACACCACGCCACGACGACCGCAGCCTGCACGAAAACCCACAACAGCGGTATCCTTTCCCCGCACAACATATTAACTATCTTTACTGAATTAAAATGAAGTCTAACTATATGTGCGTCAACATGTATTCAAGAGCAGTTTAGCGAAGGAGCGGAGGACTCGGCGCATCAGCTGTCTCTGCGGAAAATGACGTCACTGGAGAAGAAACTTTATTGTACAAACAGGCAATGACACTTGACTAACGTTGATGTCAGTTGTACATTGTTATACTTAACTTTACATACTTAATTTTGATGTAAACAACATAAATTCAACACAAATGTTGACATTTAGATGAGAAAAAAACACAAATCCACTTTTCTAAAAATAAAAAAAAAAATATATATAATAATCGCTTACTCTTTTCCTTCAAAACTCAACATATTTGATAAACTCCACCAGCTGAATCTCAGTAGATGAGAGATGCAGTAGGACAATGACCCAAAACATCAGAGTAAATCTGCTACAGACTGACCTCAGACAAATAAAATCCACTTATGGAGGGGCCCAACCAGAGTTAAAACCTTAAACCAGTAGATACCGTAGAATGATCTGAAGAGAGCCATTTACACCAGACATCCTAAGAATATGACTGATCTGAAGCAGTTCTATAGCAATGGTCCACAATTCCTCCTGAAGGTTGTACAGGTATGATCAGCAGCTGTCGGAGGCGCTTGTTTGAGGTTACCGCTGCCAAAGCAGGTTCAACCAGTTATTAAGTGTTCACTTACTTTTTCTATCAGCACTGTGAATGGGTGTACTCACTTAAGACACAAAAGACTGTAATCATTTATGTGATATTAGCTCAAGCACATTGTGATTGTATATACTTATGACTACTTGTGACGAAGATCAGATCACATTTCATGACCAGTTTACCTGCAAAACAACTAGCTCAATAAATAGGTCATACTTATTTCACATTATCTGTATTCAGATCACAAAAAATAAATATAAAAGAATCAAGTTTAGATTTTTATCAAATTTATTTAAAAGAAGATTAAAAGAATCACTTGTTTTTACACTTTACATCATACAGTCAAATGTCATATGAAGAGGCAAACTGAAAACAAGCTCTAATAACTTAAGACTGTTGCAGATTCAAGTTCCTGATTCCAGAGAACCCAGGCGCAAAACATCAAAACAGCGGAGCATTCATTACATCCACAAGTGCATTTGCATTCCATGGCAAAGAGTGATGTAGTGAGAGACAAAGAGCTTGGCACTTCATAGAGCGACGTTACACCCAGTCTCATGGAGGTCCACTATATATGTCCCCTCACAAGACGGTCCACTTCAATGTGAAGCAGTCATTTGCTGTTTTTTTTTTGTTTTTTTTTTTGCAGAAAGGCTCTCGGAGCCCTCCTTAAGAGTCTCCAGCTCTCACTGAGGGAGTGGTCTGAATTACCAAGTTCAGTCCCAGTAAGAGGTTTGAGTTTAAGTGGCAGAATGAACCAGTCCATTTCTCTGGCATCATTATCAGGTTGAAACACAGCCATGATCCGGCAGTAGTGGTCACATCCTCAGAGTGCTACATTGACAACTGTCAGGGCAGCTGTGATAGATAAGCCTCTATGGCCTGCAACATGAAGTGAAGATAACACATTAGTTGTCGTTGCAGTCAGTGTGACATCCCGCATGCATTAAAATAATCTTTGTTTTCACATATTATCGACACCATGAATAAATCACAGGGCTCTCATAACACATTTTCAAGATTAGGCTGTTGTTTGTACACTGAACCTTAAATATAAAAAAATGTTAATTTGGCTTTCTGCAAAATATTGAGTAAAACTTAGAATCAACTTAGAGTTTATTTCCTTCTAAAGATCTCATTAAATGGCAGTGAAACCATGACATTCTTTAAATGGGTTGATGTATTTCAGTATGAAACAGGATGTGAAGATGGAAACAAATGAACCGCAATACAGACTCTACTCATGGTGGCTCAGAGTTTTTTTTAGGATGGGAGTGGTTGGCAGTGTCCACCCAAAATCAACAGAGGACAGACTATAAACAGCAGGAGCACCTGAACAGTCTGGTAAAAATGTTCTGTGATAAATATCAATTTTTTTTCATTACATTTTGTCCATATCAGGAAGAAGCATAGCAAGCATTTCTATTTTAAAAATACCATCAAATAAGTAACTCAGACAAAGCTTGGTACAGAAAATTTAATATTTTAAGATCTGCTAAATGCCATTTTAAAGCTTTTTTTTTACACTCTTGACTAACCGTTAACAACCACTGCATCGTAAATAAATCCCTGACGAGTTCTGAAATAATCCATCTCACCTTTGCCAGTTCTCCTGTAGATCCTGGAACCAAACATAAGCGGGCTCCTTCCCTCCACAAGTCCTTCAGCCGCTGCTTCATGACTTCAATATTCCTGCAATTAACATACATATATTACCATTGCAGCAGGTTAATGTTTGTAAACCTATAGTTACAGACCTGGACTCTAACTAGAATAAAACATTAAGACATAATTGTGCTAATGGATAGCTTCTACTGTGTGAGTCCGTGTTTGTTGTAATTTTTATACCCATTATGTTAACGAAATCAACATTGCAGTTCACATACAAGGTATGTAAATTATTTTTTTCCAATATTCAAAAGAGGATAACATAATGCCGACAGTGACAAAAAAAAAAAAAACACCTTTGTTTATAAGCAAGTGCACATGGGTATAATTACTAGATGGAAAATCAAAAATAAATCATGGATGATGTTAAAATATGGTAGAAATTTGTTGAACTGAAGCATTTTGAATTTCTGTATTTGAAAAGATACAGCAATGCAACTAGAACTAATTGGTAACAAAGTCATGTTTTGCAGTAGTACAACATGTTCTGTTTGCCATGGTGCAATATTTAGTAGCAGTATTCATGAGGTAAAATAACAAAACGTTTACGTACGTTTTCACAATACACACTGAATTTGCTTCTTAATAAACATAATATCACATCTGGAGGACAATGCCATACCTCATTCCTAAGAAAGATAGACAGTGGTAGGATGACTGGTTACATTACCACACTGAGGCTTTAAAAAGGAACGTTCTGCTTATATTCAACCTGAGCCATCTTTTCATCTAACCAACTGACTTGGATCTAAATGTGTTATATTTTGGAGTTTCTACTGAATAAAATGAGGCCAAATTTAAACATTTTTGTAACTACCCTTTAAGTCTTGGTTGTGCCATGGAGGGACTATTAGGTTGTATTTAAACATGCAGTACCCACCTGTCTTCTGAACAACTGTCCCGCAGTCTTTTCTCATTCTTTGAAAGTTCTGGCCACCATTTCTTGATGACGGATTGAACCCAGTGTAAACCCACCATGATGTGTCTGTTTAAAGCATATAAAGCAGAGCAGCTATTTAAATTACTGTGTTCAATATTATAATATTTAAAAGTGCTAATGCAAATACATCTGGTTTTGCTGTTTAAATCTTGAAGACATTTCACCACTGGTCCAAGACGTTTCATTAGGTCTTAGTTCAATTCATTAGTTATTCATCAGAAAGGGTGAAAAGCTTAGATGAGTGGTGCATCATCTTCAAGGCTAAAACAGCAAATCCAGTCTCTTTAATCTCAGCATTTCAAGATTGTTTGCCAAAGTGAGAGAGATCATTAAACATGCATGACATTCCTCAGTGCCACTTACTCTTCGTATTTACTGGCAAGAATCACTTTCACTTGGGGCAGGAGGTCAACACAGCAGCCAAGTGACAAACATGGTGCTTCAGTCTGAAGACTGACGAGACACAAGGTGAAAGAATAAATAAGTAAGAGGTCTTTGTACTGGTGACACAGGCAGACACAAAATAAGGCAGCAAAATATGTTCAAACTGCCTGAATAGTTTAATTACAGCCTCTGACGGTCAATGGATTAAAAAAAAAAAAAAACTTAACTTAACAAATACATGTGCATGGATTATAGTTTATTATGTTCTTTAAATTAAAAGATAGTTTAGTTTTTCTTTAACTTGTTTGCATTCAAGAGAAATTGATTTTATCTTTGTCTATAAGCTAAATACTTAAAAAGGTGGATACAAAAAAAACAAAGGACATAGGTTATGGAGAAATTTCTGGGACTTCCCTCTCCAGTAAACTTAAAAGTAAGAGTTTCTTACTTCAGTGATCAATTTGGCCCATTGTTTGGGTCAAGTGTATTTTACATGGCCTAAATTTACAAGACAGGCTTGTCACAAAAACATCATTTAGATTATGCTGCTACATGTTCGTGTTAAACACACATGTAAAAGGAAAAATTACATTAAACACTTAGATGAGACTCACTTGTTTGTTAAGACAGGTAAACAGTCAAGCAGCACACCCATGTCTTGAATTCTGGGAAAATAAAAAGATGATTAAATATAAAGTGTGTTCATGAAATTTAAGAGTACACAAAAATGACAAAAATTAAGTGTTAAATGCCCCTGTTTTACCTTAATAGGTAGGCCACTAATTCACTGGCATTTCTTCGCCATAGTGTTAGTGCTACTTTAAGTCGTAGATTCCTTCCAAAAAGGACATGTGTCATAGCTTCATGGTCCTTTGATAGCTGTACAAAAAGACAAACAAATGAAATACAGTCTGCAACAGTGATGCACATTTTACCAATCACGCCAAAGAACAAAAAGAACAGTTTTTCCTACAACAGCACTAACGTCCACATTTCCTAAAAAAAGCAGTAGTTTTAACTCTGAATCTCACCTCAGTAAATTCACTGTACTTAGAGCTGGCCCCTGCCATCTTGGAGGCCTCTGCAGAGTTCACAGGGAGCCCGCAGTTGTCATTGTAGTGAATGCCCCGCACATCATCGGAGCATGTCAGCTCATTTTCTTTATTGGCCATGCCGGGGTCACAGCCACGGCCTACATCTGATGTTTTGCGGTGCAGCTTCAAGCCCACCTCCACCAATGGACAACCCTTCCTCTTGCAAGATGACAATCGCTTTGCTGTGCCGGGACTGCGCACTCCGTAATGCACTTGAAATCTGCCAAGAGGGAAATCAAGATGGACCACATGCGAAGCCGTATTATTTTGGAAAACAGTAAAATGCAATGTCACAAACAAGGTGAAAATGGTTATGGAATGGTGCCTTAATAGTCCAGTGACTGAGAGGGATGATCTGTGGGACACAGATAGTGACTGAGTGATCATAATTAGATGAATCCCAAGATATAGATCAGAAACTCACCTTTCTTTATCTAATTCTTCCTTATTTATAATATCCACCTAAAACAAAAGGATAGGGGATGAGGCCACTACTACAATCTCTACTACTACAATTCCACTCAACTGTACTTCACAGTGACCAGGAGACTGTACTGTACAATTATTTACACAGTAAGTCACGGTAGTTGCTTTCATATCTCCGTACCTGCTTCATGTTCTTTTCAGCAGAAAGATGCTGGCAGGATCACAGAAAGCCATTGGGTTTATTCCGGTTGACCTTAAAGACTTCCCGTTGCCAGACATGCTCACCAGCTGCCATAATAAGGGACACTGTTGGACAAAACAATTGTGGGACAATCGTTGGAACAATATCTCAGTTTCAAGAGTTGCAACAAGTCATAATCTCTATTTGTGGCCTAATAAATTACATGCTAGCTATGTGCAGCATGTGATCTACTGTGCAGCCGTGTGGTTAGCAAAGAGTAAAAGACAAACATTCAACTAAGAAAAACAAAACAAAAACGCTACATTTGAGTTACGAAGGCGTTGGCTGCTGCGGTATAAGCATCAATGTTAAATAACCGAGGTGCAACAAAAGTCAGAAATGTCACTAAATGTGGATTAAAATTAGGTTAGTGTTTTCTTTCCTACCACAAATGAGACACTCGAGGTTTGAATGCGCACACCGCCGCATTTCGCTACGTCTCTTGGCTCATATTCCAACAGTTAGCTAACTGTTAGCTTTTAGCTCAACTATCAAGGATACGCGGAGACGTAGAGAGTAACCAGCTGGGCCGCTAGTGGAAGCTAGCTAGCTAGTTAGCCTTGAAAGTCTGGGAACATATGGCTTCACAAGTGGCGGTTCAGACACAATTTCCAACATTTAAACAATAAAGTTTTATACCTACCGGTTCATTTTGTCATGTGTCTTCAGGTGTCCGCAGGTACGTAAATCCAAAACGTGACAAAATGGTTAAACTCAAGCGCAACTCCTCTCTGTGCAGGTTTGCTAGCGTTTCACAGTCTTACCATTCAAATGAATACACCGCCGGTGTGCGAGGATTGTGGGATTGATTTTGGCAGACTAAAGCTGGAGTTTTAGCGACGACTGGTGGACATCACGAAATTTAAATCTTAGTGCCCCATGGCGCCACCCAGTGTCGTGCAGTAAAGCAGAAATGCATGCCGTGCTTTGCCTACTCCACAGGTAAGCATAAGCATTAGTATCTTAGTTTGTGAAAGCTGCCAGCCTTAAAGGAAAAAAACATGATACTATGTGAAGCACCTGAAACACTGGGATCATACTGGAGACTATTTGGCTCATAATTATATAATAAACAAATAAATAAATTACTTAATACATTTAATAAATCAACAAATAAATAAATAAGTGATGAAGTGTCATATATACAAATATAGGCCTATAGTATCATGAAATGTTTTAGGCACTAAAATAAAGTGTGGATGTTTTTATTTTATCACTTAACTTCACACAAAGTGTAGGAAACACAAAAATAAAAAACTCAATAAATAAATAAACCAGATCAGTGTTTGGTTTTAAACAGCACCAATTCACTTGCACACAGTTTTTCAAAGTATTAGGCAGGGGTTGTTCCTCTACTTTGTCTTAAAATCAGGGAAATGAGCTTTGAAGTATAAGGCTATGTGAACATTTTGTTTAAAGATGGTCCTTACCAGCCTGTGCAGCCACATACCTGCATACAGTTGTTTATTGTGAAACACATGAGGTTAAATTTCTGCTGTTGAGCAGGTTTTTCCATACAGATCATCCACCTTTTTTGTGTCTCGCAATTGAATGATCTGGTCCCTTGGTCACAACACAGCGCTGTGGTCCTTCAGAAAGTAAACAAAAACACAAGTTACACAACAGATTCCTGCAACAGATAAAAATAAATACACTGATCACACATGGAGGACAACAACTAAACTCTGCTCATGAAATACTCCTTATATACAAGTTAAGTTTATTTTACTTGTTGCAGTATTATTCACCTGAAAATGCAAGAGTTAAGAATATTGTCCCACCTTGATATCTTTAATAGGCCACTATAGATGATACTGAACTTTTCTTTCTTTGCAGATGTTTTCACTACTCCTACTAGCCTAACCATAACTCAATAAATAGAGGAGCCCTTGTTTCATATCACATGGACATCACAAAAATAACTGAATAAATAATATTGTTTTGCTAAAATCTGTGTTTACCTTTTAAACGTGAATTCAATTTATATTGTTTTGCTTGAATCATTCATGAATAAAGCTCCGAGTCTGGACATTGTTATGATCATCAAACTCATTTCCCTGCTGTCTCTCAAAAATAAGTTCTGTCTGCTGTTGATGGTATTTTGTTTGGAAATATTTAGGCAGGGATATTTGCAGTTTGCTGACTCCTGACAAGACCCACCTGCTCAGCCACACTCTCACTCAAAATGGATTACTGAAAGACTTTTGCTCATGCAAATCAGCATTTGTGTGCTATTTTGATGGTGACACATTGTGTATGCGAGGTAAAATGAAATTAGATTTTTTAAAAAGCCACAATAAAATGTGTGTTGTTTACATGGCAGATTAAAGTGGTGGAATAAAGTATCATTAGTAAGAGCTGCATGATTATTTGTTAAAGGAAGAGTTAAACATTAGGGATATAAGCATATTGTCTTTCTTGCCAAGAGTTATACGGAAGCAAAATGTAGTGAGCAGCAAGTTAGCTTAATTGAAAACAGCTAGCCTGGCTCTGTCCAAAGGTAACGAAATTAACTACAAGCTCACTAACATGTTGGATCTTTTTTGTTTAATCTGTACAAAAATCGAAGTGTAAAAATTACACTTTAATGTTTTAGGAGGTGTCTATACAAGATAAAATGTGTAAATTAATAAACCCTAGAGGCACTATAAGGCAGACTTTGCAACAAGTCAGAGCAAGGCTAGCTGTTGCACCTGTGTTCAGTTGTTATGCTAAACTAAGCTAACCAGCTGCTGGCTCCAGCTACTGTTCAGACATGTGAGTGGCATGTATCTCCTCATCAAACTGTCAAAAAGAAAGCAAATAAGTGTATTTCCCAAAAATTTCTTTTAAGGTGATGATGGGGACATACTTTGTTGAAGCTTAAATAAGGCTCAACCATAGTCCCTTGCCTCAGATACAACTCATCTTGTCTTATATCAGGTTCTTTATGGAATGAATGTTGTCAATCGCCACAGATGTCTGGAGTACACACTTGATCCTGCTCTTTTTCTTTCAAGATCCCTTTCACAATGTCTTTCATTTCACAAGGCTAAATGAGTGGTTGTGGCTGCTATGTTCTGTTTCGAACGAGGAAAATTTCCTGGCATGTCTTAGGTACACTGAAACCCTTCGCGGGAGACGTAAAAGCCAAAAAAACAGAGAACAATCCTGAGTGATTGCCGTCATCACCTCTTGGTGAAGCATCTCTGTCCTGATGGAGGTGGAATCTTCTCTGGATGATATTGTCTCTACAGGCCGTGAGTGGCCATTGAAAGGGTGAATGAAAAAAGTGAATCACTCACTATCTGGCATTGTCATCACTTCTGAACTCAATTGAGGAGTGGCAATGGAAAAGAGCATGTTCCACAATTACAATTACAGACAAATACTGAAAGACAGTTTCTGTAGAAAGTGGTGTTAATGCGTTTGTGAATCTTGTAGAATCCATGCCAAGGCACGTTGACGGACCTCACAGCAGTCCAACACCCGATTAAAGAACGTAATGGTGTTTCATTTACTTTGGCAGATACCTGCCAGTACCTTGGTTCAAAATTGTGGCTTTCTCTTTCCTTAGACAACCACAAAAATGAAAATGCCTGATGGCTGTTTCTGTTTATCATGTCCAAGAATCAGAATGCAGCTGCACGTACCAACCCAAACATACCAAATTTTGGAGTTACAAATCAAAATAAACCCAAGGAAGAGAAATTCAAATCATCAGTCCCTTGGTGTACATGAGCAACATCCAAACAAAATGTTCCAGTCTTTTGATGGAGGCGTAATTGGATTTTGGTAAATCTTTGGTACATTTGCTGCACAGTGGTAGTCTAAAGAATTTAAATCACATTTCAGACCGTGGTCCTTTGGATCAAAACAACGCTACTTTTACAGGCATGTTACAAAATATTCGGACTCCCAACAACAAGATCAGTCTGTAAATCTGAACATTTAATGTGGCTTCTTTGTACTGAAACATTTTGTGCTTGTCTTGTTAGTGTTAGTGTCTGAAAGCCTGTAGCTAAACTTTGCTCCCACAGTAGGCCTATAACTTACCCAGGACAACTGTAGAGGCAGGTAATTGAAAGAGGTAAGAGTGATTAAACAGTATCTAATACATTCCCATTTTAAAAGCCTTGGAGGCCTTGAACAAAGATACTAAATAACTGCATTTCTTTATTTAACAGGGACAATACAGAAAAAACTGCCACATAGGAAGTGGGACTATAATGTCAACAGGGGTTCTGGGTGTTTAGGCTTTTAAATCAGGTTCAAACAACTAAACAAACAAATGGATAATACAGACCGTGTACGTTTCTATTCAGTATGTGTATTTCTTGTACATGGCTGTGTATGCATTAACATATGGGAACAAGATTGTGTGTGTAAAAGTGTTGTAAGTATAACGTATGTATATGTAGGCGTACAGGCACATGTAACACCAAAATATCAATATGGAGCAGAGTAAAGTGAGAAAACTTCAATTTCATTCAAAGTTTTTTGAGGTAATGCAGATTCAGCGTGATCCAGAGCAACAGTGTTTGTGTACATTTGAGTCCTTTTCTTTTTCTTTTCTAAAATCAGACATTGAGAAATAGAATAAACAGATTATATGTGTATTTTTGTTTTCATGTTAAAAAAAAAGGAAACAACACAGATGTACACGGACCCGACGACACCAAAAACTATGTCTGCACAGGTGTTCGTGATATTGTGTGCAGCCCTTGTGTACTTCACACTCATGGTTCTGTAACATATAGCACCAGGGCAATCTCTTGAGCACATGTTAGCCATTAGAGAGTGCACTGTTTCACTTTGAAGCAAATTAGCATACAGATGTTTTAGGTTAAAGCTGAGTCGGATTTGATTATCGTAATCTGAGTAATGCAATTTAAGTTTAACCCTCCGCAAGTTAGAAAGGCATGTCTTCTGAATTTCAGAGAATAAAAATATTATGTACGTGCACAAGATGATAAAGGGTCTAAAATATGTATATTCTAATATGCACATCCAAGATATTAGTCATATTTCATGGTTGATTTGAAACTGTATTTACGAATCAATCCAGGTTGTCAAAATAAAAGTTTACCAAAATACTGTATTTACTGCAGCCCTGGCATATTTCTTTTCTGATAACTACAGAATCTGTTCATTTAGATTCTATTCTACACTGTGCAGAGTGTGTGATGAGTGGAAACTGATTATCTACTGTGTACATCAGCTCGCTAAAGAATTTGAGAGGCAGAGATTGTGTTCATTTCAGTGCCCTTGGGCCTTTTTGTAAACATCTTCCCTAAAAAAAAAAAGAAAAAAAAAAAGTGAGTTGGAGATAAACATGGAGCGCTAAATCTGGTTTTTCAGACAAAAGCAACCACCCACAAAGTCCGTAAGAGTATTAGGAGATTTACGTTAGCAAGGAAGGATTTATATGACAAGGTTTCATCCAGATGAAAACAGAGTGCTTGTTAGAGTCTGTGGGTGTTAAAAATTTAAGCTGGAATTTCTATGAGGAAAAATTCCCTTCATATTCATGAAAGGCTAAGTCTCTCTTAGCAGGATGTGCTTATTGCTAAGAAGCAGCATGACTTGTAATGGCCTGAAACAATTTGTTTGCAGTGAAATATGATTGGAACTGTGTTATTAAGAAAATTTAAAACAATTTTGGCAGTAATGATACTGGGTAGATATTTAATTTTAATGATGCTTATGGACCCACCAGATTAGAAATGAGCTAAATGAAATTTGCTAAAAATAATTAGCAAAATTAGCTATTAGGTCATTTAGCTGAGTGAGCTAAATGA